TCCTCTTGCAGCATTTTATCGACTAGGTTCTCTGGTGTCAATTCCCCTATTTTATTTATAGTCTCAGTTCTAACCTGTATCCATCTTTCACACTTGAAGAACGTGTGTTCAGCACTATCTTCTAGCTTGCAATATGAGCATTCGTTTGTCTGGCTAATTTTAAATCGATATAAGTAGGCCTGAAATCCTCCGTGTCCAGACAGGATCTGGGTCAGGTAGAAGTTGACCTCTCCCCACTTTCTGTTGATCCATGGCCTTATATCCTTTATTAGCCGCTGTGTCCAATTTGCTTTTCCATCATTGACTTCCCACACCTCTTGCCATTTGTCTACTATTTGTTTGCGAGCATCTCTTTTTTCCACATTTTGTCTCATAAGTTTTCTTTCTTCTACCAATAAATCTATAGGCGGTGTTCTTGCTATAACCAGCAGGGCTTTTGTTGAAGTTGTCCGGTATGCACTGACCATTCTTATAGCTGTTCTTCTCTGAACACTAAGGAGCTTATTCCTGTAGACCTTTTTGTGAATGGCTCGCTGCCATGTAGTAGCGCCATACATCATTATGGATTCCACCACGCTGCACAGTATTCTTCTGCTTGCCTCTCTAGGGCCTCCTACATTAGGCATGATCCGGCTGATGTTTCCGAGAGCCTTGTCGGCCTTTTTTGCGGTTTCCATTATATGGTGTCCCATACTCAGGTTCCTGTTCAAGTAGATCCCCAGGTACTTAACGTTTTCTTGACAATTCATTGTCACATTTTCTACGATAAACGAGATATTTTTGATTTTGTTTCCTGCTGCAAGGAGAACAGCTTCCGTTTTTTGTGGGGCTAATTTTAGTTTTTTATCCTTCAGCCATCGACTAACTATTTCTAGTGTCTCGTTTGCCAGGGTCTCCAGATGTTCAGCGTCCTTTGCTACGATCACAATAGCTAGATCATCCGCATATGCTATTAATTTTGCGCCTCTAGGGACAGACAAATTTAAAATACCATCATAATAGATATTCCATAACGTTGGTCCGAGGACTGACCCTTGCGGAACGCCACATGTGATGTCTTTCTGTCCTTTTGCTCCTACCATGAGCTTCCTGTTGTCCAGATAGCTGGCTATTAGGTTATAGGTGAGCGGAGATACCTCTCTCTTCCTTAACTCCTTCAGAATTCCTTCCCAGGGCGCAGAGTTAAATGCATTCTGTATGTCGATAGTTATCATCATGCATCTCTTTCTGGTCGTTCGTTCGTTTGCAAAATCAGCAATTTCCTGGACCCTTTCTATCGCATCTATCGTAGACTTGCCGTGCCTAAATCCATATTGCTCCTCGTGCAGACCTCCATTTCTTTCCACATCTTTATCCAGCCTTTCCCTGATAAGTTTTTCAAGTATTTTTCCAAGAACATTCAGTAGACATATAGGGCGATATCCCTTATTTTGTCCGGGTTTTCCTTTCTCTATAAGGACCAGTTTCGCCGTTTTCCATTCTTTAGGAAATTCTCCTTCAAGCAGTATTTGGTTCATTACCTTTAAAAGTTCGTCCGGATATTTACTAACTACCGCTTTTATGATCTCAGGTGAGAATCCATCGGGTCCAGGGGCTTTCTTGTCTTTAATGTTTTCATTTGCTTTCAGCAATTCACTGGTCGTAAAGAGCGATATTTCGTTGACTTCTACGGGCATCCTGTTCCATTTTGTAACCTGGTGAGTTGGGAATAGTGTTCTTGCAACCTCAAGCTGTTACTGGTCTGTCATGGCGATGCGAGGCGTACCTTTTAACTTTTTAGAGACTATTTGGTATCCCTTACCCCAGACATCTGAGTCTACTTCCTCTATTACTTTTTTCCAAGCCGCCTTTTTTGCCTCCATAATAGCTTTTTTGAGAGTAGCTTTACTTTGTTTGTATTCCGCCTGTCGACGAGTTATCTGTTCAGCATTGTTGATCTTTTTGTTTTCCCTGATCATGTTTCTTCGGGCTCGTATGCATATTTTACGCTTTTCTGCTACTTCTTCCGTCCACCAATATACGGGTTTCCTTTTACCTCTAATGTTCATTTTTACAAACGCTTTGTCACATGCTGCCTTTATTATTTCGTTTAGCTCTTCTACCTGTAGAGTAATATCACCTTTTATTTTCAGTTGTCTTCCGACTTCCTCCGTCATCTTCTGCATGTTTTTCTTGCTGACTCTCCACCGTTCCAGTCTGTTCTCAAAGCCATTTTTTCTGTCATCATCCTCGGATATGTCGTATACTATATATGCGTGGTAACTTAAACTCTCCTGTTCTAATATTCTCCAGTTCTTTACTTTTGGAGCTAAATTTTTGGTGCAAAATGTGACATCAATATACGACTCAGTTCCTCTTCTTGAGAATGTTGGTACATTACCCTGGTTAAGAACTACCAAATCTTCTTCTCCCAACCATTCGGCCATTTTTTTTCCTTTTTTGTCCTCTATCCTAGATCCCCAACTGTAGGCTTTGGCATTGAAATCTCCTCCGACAAGTA